TCAGTTAGAGCTCCCGAACCCTGCTTGTTCAACATCTTATTCTGGCTTTTAACATTTGACGGTTACAAAATAAGACTCTTACCACAAAGCCTGAAACCCGTTTATGTTTAGACAGAGTTTAGACCCGAAGAAAACCATTTTCTGTCATCTGTAAGAGCTCAAAATTAAGGTGCAATACTACGGAAGATGACAACATAGGCTTTAAAACCTTGTTCTGCGGATATAAACATTTTAATATTTATTTTTGCTCTGTGCTCTGCAAAGAGACAGAGGAGTTACCTAGTGGGGTAAAGCAGAGGCGTTTGGGGGTATCTTTAAAAATGTACAGACACCTGGCACGATTGTGTGGCTGAAGCACACAACATGTGGACACTGAAGCACACAACTATGGACATTGAAGAAGCAGGGCTTCAGACCAGAGTTTGCGCCTAGCATGCTGACATTTTTTAATTGCCTCCCACCCACAAGGGGAGAGTTGATTTAACTCCAAAATGGCTGCTCAGGGCTAAAGTCAATCCCCACAGTGATAAATGATGGGGGCAATTAATGGAATTCCTTTGAAATCCTCACAATGGCAAGCAAGCCTGGAAATGAAGGTACTAGTTCTAAATCAGGGGTGTCAAACTCGATTTCATTGAGGGCTGCATCAGGGTTGTGTTTGACCTCAGGGGGAGGGTGTGTATGTGTGTGTGTGTGGCCAGGGGGCATGACCAGCTCAACATCACTCACTGACGCTCTATTTTCATCTGTGATGGATTCCTGCAGCCCTCTGCCAGCGAAAATGGAACTCGGGAAGGCTGCGCATGGCACTCCCAAATTCCATTTTCGCTGGCAGAGGCACTTTGGGACAGTCCTTTGCTGTTTCCAGGGTGGGCCTGCTCATCTAAGCATCCTGCAGGCCAGATCCAGCCTGCAGGACTTGAGTTTGACACCTGTTCTGATCAAGGCTCATTGAGACACAAACAAACACACATTAGTTCCAAAACCCTTTTTTCTTTATTTCCAACAGCTGTGAATTTTATTCATTCACAGCCTGTAATGAGTCTCAAACAGTTTGCAAAGAGTCTTATGGAAGTTGTCCTTCAGGATAAGTCAGATAAGCACGCACCTTTATCTTCCTTGAAATTCTGCCAATGACTAAATCTCCAATTAGTTATACAAGGCCAAACGGAGCACAAATTCAACAGAGCTTCAGGTTTCAAACCGACCAGTATGAACAAAGTTGCTTCCTGCAAATGTTCATGTCCCTTTGCTCTTCCTTTATGTCTTATGGGCCAACAACCTCCAAGCCTTACTCCTGAGTCGTTCCTTTTGTCTTAGCTGTTCTTGTCTTCTGGCAGCTCTGCGCATGCGTGCACTGGGAACAGGCTCCCTTTGTTCCTCTGCCTCGCTGATCTCAATACTGGACTCCTCGTCTGAGTCCTCCCCAGACTCCTGGACTGGCCCACCCTGGAAACAGCAAAGGACTGTCCCGAAGTGCCTCTGCCAGCAAAAATGGAATTTGGGAGTGCCATGTGCAGCCTTCCCGAATTCTGTTTTTGCTGGCAGAGGGCTGCAGGAATCCATCACGGATGAAAAAAAGAGCCTCAGTGATTGATTGATTGATTGATTGTATTTGTTTGTCAAACATGTATGTACAAGAGAACAAGTGTAGGTATGAACATAAACATGAACAAAGGAAGTAAATACAGATAAATGGGGACAGGAAGAGAGGGACGGTAGGCACGCTGGTGCGCTTATGCACACACCCTTTACAAACCTCTTAGGAATGGAGTGAAGTCCATGGTAGACAGTTTGAGATTGCAGCTTTTCTGCCATTTCTGTTTAAAAAATGAAACTCAGGGGCTTACACTAACTAAATCCACAGTAAAACCCATAATTATCTACAACATACAGTATATAAAATATGTCCATAAAACCCTATAATAATTATAGGGACACAAGAAGCAGCACCCGCAGCCATTTTAGGTACAAATTTAACAGTCACCATCTCCAAACGCCCACGCCAGTTTTTCACAAGCTTTGTTAATAAATGTTAATCTCAATAACGAGGACGCTGTTCTTCTTTCCTGACTCTGTAGGAGGGATGTTCTGTCAGAGAATGCAGTTCAGTCCTCACTTTCTATAAAACTTCGAAAAATCTCCATGCAGACTAGAATGCCTTCCTCAGGGGTAGCCCTTGGATTTAGCATAATAGATTTGGAACCTTGATTACTAGGTTGGATCAAAAGGTGAGTCCCTCTCCCAACTTTATCTAATCCGGCATGCCAAAATAACAGTTATAAGCTCCATTTTATAATTGGAAAACACATTCAATAAATCTAGTCGACGTTTAAAATGTATTTCAAGGTAAATTGTCAAGTCATGTCCGATTCTAGAGGGTGGTGCTCTTCTCTGTTTCTTAGCCAAGGAAGCCAGCATTGTCCAAAGACACACACACGCACACACACGCACGCACACATTCAATAAGTGCTTAATGAACAGCATACTGAGTCCATTTGTTTACATAATAATACTTCTTAAGTTCCTAATTTCTACCCGTTATCCAATCATTGATAAAACAAGTCCCAAGTTCGAAAATATTCTGTGTCTTCTTTTTCTTTTAACTTCAGTGTTAGTCTGTCCATCTCTGCACAGTCAAATATTTTTTAAATTATATCTTCTTCTATAGGTGTTTCTTCATTTTCCCAATGTTGTGCAAATACAGTTCTTGCTACTGTTAAAACATATAACATCAAATTTACATTCCCTTTATCATATTTTTCTGGTATTAGGCCTAACAAAATTAGTTCTGGCTTAAAATCTATATGCTGTCTTAACATTTTTTTCTAGCCACATGTGCATTTTCACCCAGGTTCTTTTTTTTTTTTGCTTTTGGTCATGTCCACCAGAAGTGATAATATGTACCTGGTTTCTGATTACATTTCCAGCATTTGGTGGACATATTTTTAAACATTTTGGCTTGTCTTGCTGGTGGTATGTGCCTTGAACATGTTATGAAAGCTTTTTATAAGTGGTTGCCACCACCAATGTATAATTTCTTTTCCAAAGACACTTCTTTGAACGATCCAAGGTTGTACCAAATACTGTTACCTTCCCTCCAAAGTGGTACCTATGTATCTACAGGCATTTGCATGCTTTCAAGCTGGTAGGTGGATAGGAGCAGAGGCAAGTAACAGGAGCTAACCGTGTCATGCGGCATTGGGTCTCAAACCTGGGCTGTCAGCTTTTCAGCTGACAAGCCCAGCATCTTTAATCACTGAGACATCATACCCCCTAAAATAGCAGTAGCACTAAGATTTATATATCGCTTCACGGTGCTTTTTACAGCCCTCTCTAAGCGATTTACAGAGTCAGCCTATTGCCCCCAACAATCTGGGTCCTCATTTTACCAACCTCTGAAGGATGGAAGGCTGAGTCAACCTTGAGCCAGTAAGAAATGAACTGCCTAACTGCTGGCAGCTGGCAGTCAGCACAAGTAGCCTGCAGTACTCCATTCTAACCACTGTGCCGTCACGGCTTTTAATTTATGCATTTATTCTCTGCAGATATAATCATTTTCCAGATTCTCTTCTCTCTTTGGCAGAATTTTAGGTCCTGACAAAGTTCATCATGGTCAGAAACTGAGGGCATACATATGATTGGGGATAAACTAATGTCTATCACGCAGCCAAAAAATGCAAAATTTATTTTGTTTTAGCTGAAGTCATTCTTCAGGAATAAAAGTGTTTGCATCAGACTGAGGCTGAGAACAGCAAGGACAGATGTTTTTAACTAGGTAATCTTAATGACTTTAGTCCATGCAGCCCTTTCCTCCAATGATACAAGCAAAGCTACTAAGGTGGCCTTGTTAGCTGAAAAATAAAAATAAAATAGTAAAATAAAAAATAAATAAAATAAAATAAAAACAACATAAACAGACAGAGGCAAATAGTATCCCTTTCTCTGATTTTGGTTACCTCCGGATGCCTTGGACTGCATCCCCTGTAGTCCTTTGTCTTTGACTCTTGGCGATGAATGGATGGAAGTTGAAATCCAAAGCATTTGACAGATACCAGATTGTGAAGATTTGGTACAGTTTAATTAGATGTCATCAAACTGGGTTTGATTTCTGGTGACAACTTGGACAAATGCCTTCCTTCTCAACATCTCCTCAGCAATATTTTGGCTTAAATTACATAGTCAAAGGTTTTAATGTGGTTAAAGGAGACCTCCTCTTTGTTTTTTCTCTAGGTGTTTCTAGTTCCTTTCTACGCAGGCACTGCAGTCCACATTCCTCCTATGTTTCTATGGAGATTCCCTATCACCCAGGTTATGGTTGTCCCAGAGGTGCTTTTTCAAGAGGTAACCGGACTTCAGAACTGGAGAAGCTTCTTGGGTGAGAAGCAAAACGTCTTCAAAGAAAAACCAGAAAGCCCAGTTGCCTCTTGGGGGCAGATGGGGGGAGCACCTTTGGGATTTCTTCCTATGTGCTAGACCTAGACTAGAGCAAGGATCTCCAGACTTGGCAAGACTTGTGGACTTCAGCTCCCAGAATTCCTGAGCTAACATGACTGGAGGAGGAATTCTGGGAGTTGAAGTCCACAAGTCTTAAAGCTGTCAAGTTTGAAGAGCCCTGTTTTAGAGGAAAAGAAAAGGGATACCGGGGAGAGAGGGAGGGATCGGTGGGAGGAAGCAACCCTTGATACACGGCCACGGGCAGAGGATTTCTGCCCAAAGCGGTCACTTTCACTTTCGCCCCTGCTCGTTTCCATCGTTCCAGCGAGCATCAAGTTTCCGAACCCCCACCCCCCCGCCCCACCGCAAGTAAAAACCTTTTAAACTACAACTCCCATCATACCCCAATCTCCCTCGTCTCTCTATCTCTCTCTTTGGCCCAATGGGAAGAAAAAGATTCCGCAGCGTTTGACCTTCCCCTGCGATGCGAGCCAATGGCGAGCCCGGCTTGCGCCCTCGCTCAGCCAATAATACGGGAAGACGATCGTTTGAGGGCCGGGCGGGAAAGTGGTTGCGATTTTGAATGTCGAGAAAAGTCTGAAAGGTAAGCGATGGCGAAACGGGTGTCTGTGTGTGTGTGTGTGTGTTGCCTGCCTGCCTATCTGCCTATCTCTGTCCAGAAACATTTTTTTTTAAATGTTTAATGTTGGTAACTCGCTTGATAATTCTAGGGAGACAAAAGGAGAAACGCTAAAAAACATGTTTTGGAAAATCCTTGCTACTAAGCTTTATCGAGGGCTTTTGCAAACGGAAGTTTACCTATTGAAAAGGAAGCAGGGTGGTTGTCCCGTTTCATAAAATTCGTGTTTCTTTAATGGATAGCAAAACCCTCAAACCCCCTGCTTTGATGTGTGCATAAATCTTGGTTTCTGTCTCTGGTTCAAGATCAACACTTTCACAAGGTTTTAAGCTGGAGGGTGTTTAGAATAGACTACTTTATTGGCCAAGTGAGATTGGACACACAAGGAATTTGTCTTGGTGCAAATGCTCTCAGTATACATAAAGAAAAGATACATTCGTTAAGAATCAAGAATCATAACGTACAACACTTAATGATAGTCATAGGGGTACAATCAACAATCAAATCATGCTAGGAAGCAGTCAATATAAATCGTAAGGATACAAGCAACAAAGTTACAGTCATACAGTCACAAGTGGGAAGGGATGGGTGATAAGGAGTGATGAGAAGATTAACAGTAATAGGAGCGCAGACTTTGTAAATAGTTGGACAGTGTTGAGGGAATTATTTATTTAGCAGAGTGATGGCATTCAGGAAAAAACTCTCCTTGTGTCCAGTTGTTCTGGTGTGCAGTGGTCTATAGTGTCGTTTTGAGGGAAGGAGTTGAAACAGTTTATGTCCGGGATGTGAGGGGTCTGTAAATATTTTCACAGCCTTCTTTTTGACTTGTGCAGTATACAGATCCTTGATGGAAGGCAGGTTGGTAGTAATTGTTTTTTTCTGCAATCCAAATTACATTGAAGTCTGTGTCTGTCCTGCTGGGTTACAGAACCAAACCAGATAGTTATAGAGGTGCAGATGATAGACTCAATAGTAGAACTGTATCAGCAGCTCCTTTGGGCAGTTTGTGCTTTCTGAGTTGGTGCAGAAAGAACATTCTTTGTTGTGCTTTTTTAATGACATTCAGCTTAACATTATGCAGAATACTCGGGTCTCTAGCTTAAATGATTTGAATGCCTGGGATTTTTTTTTTAATGTAAATAGCCTGATGGACGAGTAACAGCAGAATTCCATTGCAAAACTGTCCTTAAGCTGGAACAATGATTTCATTTTTGCTGTTTGAAATATCTTTTCAGAACGATGGCTGAGATGAAAGATGATAATGATGAGCTGGCAATGCTTGAAAAAGACATCAAGGAATTTTGGGCCAAGTTCAAAACTATTTGTTGCCTTGAGCCTATTGATCAGGTGTTGGGGCTAAGAGACTCGTTCTATGAATCCATAAACAATCTTTCAGGTAAAATTACGTCTGGTTTATTATTTTGTTGCAGCAGAAAATGAAATATCCAGTATATTCTTCATTCCCCCTTCTAGCTCTAATTGATTGGGGTAGGCGGACCATGGAAAAGAAGAATGATATCTAAAGTATCTAAACAAGACTTTTTCCAACCTTTTGGCTTGCCTGGGCCACGCTGAGTGAAGTGGAATTTTCTTGGGCTGCATATAAAATAGATAATGTAGTTCATGTATATAAATAATAAGTTTCCTTTATTTTTAAATATTTTTAATAAACTCTTGTGGGGCCACATTATTAGATGTCCAGGGCCACAGGTTGGACATACCTGATATGAACTATGTACGATACTCCTTTTTCATTTCACAACAATATTGTGGAAAGTTTCATCTGAATATAAAGTTTGTGGGCAATGTTATTGATTAGATTTATATCCCACCTTTCTCAGGAAGGTGAATTTATATATTTTCACTGCTTTATATTTGGTTTTATATCTGGTTTTATATTCTGTAAGCTGCCTTGAGTTGCCAGGGGCGAATAGGCGGCAATATAAATCCAATAAATAAATACATAATAAATTAATTTAACCTAGTATCAATATTTATTTACCTTATATAGCTGCACATTTCACTTTTGCAAGACTAGGTAGCTTATAATACAGGTAGTCCTTAACTTATGGCCATTTGTTTAGTCACCATCCAAAATTACAACGTCCCTGAAAAAAGTGACTTATGACCATTTTTCACACTTATGACCATTGCAGCATCCCCAAGCTTAAATGATTTGGGTTTGGAATTTGGACACTTGGTAACTCACATATATTTATGACAGTTGCAGTGTCCCAGGGCTATGTGATCACCTGCAACCTTCTGACAAGCAGAGTCAATCGGGAAGCCACATTCACTTAATAAACATATTACTAACTTAACAACTGTAGTGATTCATTTAACAACTGCAGCAAAAAAGGTCATAAAATGGGACAAAATTCACTTAACTGGCTTGCTTAGCAATGGAAATGTTGGGCTCAATTGTTGGTCATAACTCAAGGACTACCTGTACAACAAATAAAAAATATAAAATAAAATAAAAACAATAATTTCTGGCTGAGTTTTGATTTTGTTTTTTACATTATAGATAAATGGTCTAAAAGACTGAAAGAAGGGGATGAAATTATCAACAAATTTCATGAGTATAGCAATGGTACAGTATGAATCATTTCTCATTTTTCTTAACAATCATTTTACAGAAGCTGATAAACCAAGTAGAATGCCTGAAAAAAAATTTGTTTTTAAACTCAGTATCGATGTCTATCCTGAAAAATAATGTCCGGGCCACCTTTTCTATAAAAGCAAATGTAAACTGCTGAATGCAGTGCGGATGAGCCAAACCTTGATCTAACTTCCAGTTGTGTTATAGAATAACAACATGTATTTAATTGTAAAGAAGCATAGTTATGAACTTCAGATAATCTTTGCATTGTCAGTAATGCTTCTTCTGTTCCTTTCCTCTCAAAAGTCCATGAATCAAACTGTTTGGATAATGTCCACTGTATAATATTAAGATGATGAAGGTGCCAGTTTTATGGGAAAATGTATTTCTGTTGGATTGGGACTAAATGTAAAAACTTCCAGGAGCTGGGTTTGGCTTTTCAGGCCTACAGGGATATGTAGTTTTCTCAATAACAGTATGAAATTGCTTTCCGTGGCTTTCTTCTGGGTTTTCTTTTTCATCCCAACCTAGTCTTTAGTCCTGCCTCTGCCTGATGGTTTATCAAGTACTAATGAGAATGTGTTGTACTGTAAATATAGCACTAGCACTTAGACTTATATACCACTTCACGGTGCTTCACAGCCCTCTCTAAGCGGTTTAGAGTCAGCATATTGCCCCCAACAATCTGGGTCCTCATTTTAACAACATCCGAAGATGTGAAGGCTGTGGTGTCATCCAGGTGCTGTGTAGTTTACTAAAACAGTGTTTTGTTTTTCTTTATATTTCATGTGGGTGTTGCATTTAATGTTGCATTTAGTGGTAAGGATAGTGGTTAATATCTAACACATGTAATATATAAACAAAATGTTCTCAAATAAGATAGAAATATTTATTTTGTCATATTTATGCAGTGTATGTCACAGCATCTTTCCAACATATTTTGTTCAACTTTTTAAAAGTTTTATTCAGTAAACTATATTACCCAAATTACTGAGGGGTAAACCTAAGTAAATAGCTTTTGCGTTTTAAAAAAAAGATGCACCTTGTTTTCTCTCTTTCGTACAGAAGTCTGTGAGTTGAACAAATCAATTGAAGAAAAGCAAGCTAAAATCTCAGAAGTTCTTTCTAATATTACGGATGAGGAAAAGGAGAAGACAGACTTGATGAACAGCATTCAAGAGTTAAAGGAAGAATTAATCCGAAACAGTAAATGTAAGTTACACTGGGAAAATGGAACATGAACAGTTTAGATTTCTATCCTGCCTTTCCTCCTGAAAGTATCCTATGTAATACTCTGTGTTCCAGTTTCCCCCCGAAATAGCATCTGGTTGGGTTGGAATGAGAGAGAATGGCTGGCTCCTGAGCTTTCATAACTGAGGGTGTTATGGAACGTGGGATACCCAGGTCTCGAATAAACACATTAATCATTACATCATACTGGCTATTTTGATAATGACTCGGGAGATGTTGGAGCTGGCCATTCCAATTCAACCAAGTCAGTTTGGAACCACCATGTTAGGATACCCACATGGAAATATTTCTCCCTGTAATGAAAGAAATAATACAAGTTAATTCAGTTGTGGGTTGTTTTTTTTTAAATTCTTGCTCCGTATGCTAATTTGGTGCTTCTGGAATGCTTTACTTAGCCCTATTAAATGGCTCCAAAGAGCACAGTCAAATAGGAAAAAAAGCACAGAGAAAACAATTTCATTTCTCTTCCTTGTGTGTATTTTATATTACTGTCTCGCTTTTAGTGCTTCCTTGCAAAATTGCCTGCAGTTTTAAATTGAAAGTGAAATATTTGATTTTAGATAGCAATAGCACTTAGGCTTATATACCCCTTCACAGTGCTTTCCAGCACTCTCTAAGCAGTTTACAGAGTCAGCCTGTTGCCCCCCTCAACTATCTGGGTCTCCATTTTACCGATCTCAGAAGGATGGAAGGCTGAGTCAACCTTGAGCTGGTCAGGATCAAACTCTTGGCAGTGAGCAGTGAATTAGCCTGCAATGCTGTATTCTAACCACTGTGCTGCCACGTCTCTTAGATGAAGATGCCTTAATCTTAATGGGCTTTCCAAGCTGAGTCTGTACAGTTAGAAGTAAGCATATATGTTCAATGATACTTGATGAAGAACCATCATATCCAGAAGCTCATATACTTCAAGCCTCTTAGTCTTGCTGGGGTTGTGCTGTAACCTGGTCTCTCTCATCCGGACTCTTACAGCTGGGTATCAGCATATTAATGGTATTTCACTCTGTGCCAACAGATGACCTCACCCAGATGTAGGAGTGAGAAGAGAGATGAGTTCTGAGGCATCCCACATAAGAGCTAGATCTTTTCCCCCACCAATGCTGGCTGAAACTAACATTGGAGAAAGGAAAGCGTTACTACAGAACAGGGCCTTCATCCCAGCCGCTGAAGCTGGTCCAGAAGGATACGATGGTCAATGGTACTGAAAACTATCCAAAGATCTAGAAGGACCAGGACAGATACATCAAGCCCGTCAGAGGTTATTCATGAGCACAACCAATGCTTTCTCAATAGTGTAACCTGTCTGACTCCTGATTGGAAAAGTCTAGATAATTTGCCTCTTCCAGGGTCTACAGAAGTGATGCACCTACCATTTATTCCCCAATTGTCCCTTAAAAAGGGAAGGTTGGAAACTAGATAAAAATCATCCAGTACTGTTGAGTCCAAGGACAGAGTCTTAAACAGAGGGAACAGACCACTGTCATCTTCAAAAACCCCTATCCTATAAAGCATTCACCACCACTTGGACCCAACGACGTGTCATCTAGCTGACCTTGACCAACTAGGAGGGAAACAGGTCTGATACACAGGTAGTAGAGCTCATAGCTCTGAAGACCCTGTCCAGTTCCTCAGAGCTAACTGGCTCTGAAATTCACCCCAAACTCATCCCTTTCGTAGGACCTGTCCAGCTAAATGAAGTACAATAGATCTGAGCAACTTTGTCCCACAAACTACCCTTTCTCAGTAATCCTGCAAGGGCTTCTCCATCCCCTCCCTGAGGAGGGATCTGGTTACCTGAAACAGGGCTACCAGTTTCTATTTGCAGATGCAATAAGAGCAGAGAAGTGAGTCTGCTTTGTTGCTCTTACCACTAGCAAATAAATCCTAAGAAAGGCTATTATCCATGCTCAATTGGAATTGTTCTCCAGCAATGAACTGAGTGTCTATTGTGATGTTTCCTTCCCCCCAAAACTCAGAAACTAAACAGCATTACACAATCCCAGATTACAGGGAGTTCACAGAAATGCAATCTAACCTAGATAGCCCAGTAAAGAAACTGCAAATGATAAATTGGGTGATATTTTTTAAAAAATGGTTCTTTTGTTGAAAACGTCAGGTACTAATGCTGAAAAAAGAGATGCTTGATTCCATAAACTTATCAACTTACTAAAAAAAAATGGACCCAGGCATAAGCTTAGCAGAGATTTTGAGGCTTTGTTTCTTTTTAAATTCCAGCAAAGCATAAAACAGAAGAAACGGAGGAAAGACTTCAGAAAGCTGAAAAATTATTCAAAGAGAGGCTTGGATTAGAAATACGAAAAACATGTGGTAAGATTGATGCTCACATTTCTACTTCAGAATGACTGAGGTTAACATTTTATAGCAAAATCAATTTGTTTACAAAGCTGATGATTATCACTGCTATGCTATATAAGCTTAAAAGTAATATTTTTTTCCATGCAGATTTGCAATGTTGCCAACGGTTTCTGCAGGGGAAAATATTCTCACATTCAAAAATTTCTTGTCTGTGCAGGGCATCACTGCCAGCTCAGCCTCATTTTAAAAGCTCTCTGTAAGAGACCAGTTCAGCCCTCCGCTAACCCTTGTCTTCATCATCTTGCTTGACAATTTCAGGCAATGAATGAAAGAGGAAGAGGTTGATCAAAAACGGGGGGCAAGTTGTAGAGTAGGGGGTCATTGTCCCCTTCAGGTTTTGCCCCACTCATTGCTTGCTTCAATCCAATTTAGCACGTGGTTTCCAATTAATGATAATTATGATAATTCAGGCTGTGCAGATGGCACCATTTGGGGGACGGAAGGCTCTCAGCAACACTGAACATTGAAAACAGTGAATTTCTGTGACTGTCAGAAACACCAGTTCTGATTTATGGAAAAATGGAGAGATCTCTTAAGAGATGAGCATAGTTCAGCAGAAAAGGGAATCCTTCATCTTCAAAACAATACATTTTGCATATCTTGAAAATTTACCTTTCCATAAAATTGGGTACCAATAGCAATAGCACTTAGACTCATATACCGCTTCACAGTGCTTTTACAGTCCTTGCTAAGCGGTTTACAGAATCAGCATATTTCCCCTAACAATCTGGCTCCTCATTTTACCCACCTCGGAAGGATGGAAGGCTGAGTTAACCTTCAGCCTGGTGGGATTCGACTTGCCGGCAGTTGGCTGTCAGCAAAATAACCTGCAATATTGCATTCTAACCACTGCGCCACCACGGCTCCTGAAAAAGCTGGTAGCTGAAAAAGCTGCTACCAGATTTCTTACGTTTTTGCCTCGCAGACTTAACACGGCTCTCTTTTCTACAATATCCCCAAGGATAATGCTTTTCATGAATGAGTAGAATGTTTCTGCGTGCCAAGTGGTGTGGGTTATTTTTCCTCACAAGGGTTTTGTGCAGTGTAAGCTTTTTTTTTTTTGCAAGCCTGGGAACAAATAAATATTCAGTGCCATACTGAGCTCTGATCTGTCTGAACTTCAATAAGAATCTTCTTAGCTTCTTAAGTTTTTAAAAGTGCTATTTACTATTATAACGATCAGAACCATGGAGTCTTAAAAAATTCAGCCTTCACATGTTTTCATAGGGGATAAAATATTTCTGAGCATACCCTTGATGAAAATAATGGTTTTCAGTACTAGAATAGATTAGAATAGAATAGGCTAGACTAGACTAGAATAGAATAGAATAGAATAGAATAGAATAGAATAGAATAGAATAGAATA